GTGCTTTTAGTATCCTTCACTCTGAATAAGTTCCTCGTCTCCAGATGTATGAACTTTTAGAGGTAACCCACTGAAATGATGCTCCATAACAGAGGCACACAGTGTTTGCTCAATTACCAGTTAGGCTGACTTTTATCACTGGGATAACATGGTATCTTTCAGGTTTCTTCACTTTAACGTTAAGTATAATGTAATTAAAAATCAGTAAATAATTTATAAGCACTTTTTTTTCTTTGAGTTGGAGTCTCGCTCTGTCGCCTAGACTGGAGTGCAGTGGCACGCTCCTGGCTACCGCAGCCTCAACCCACTGGGCTCCAGTGATCTTCTGCTTCAGCCTTCCAAGTAGCTGGAACTACAGGGGTGCACTACCATGCCTGGCTAGTTTTTTATTTATTGTAGAGACAAGGTCTCGCCAAGTTGCCCAGGTGAGTCTTGAACCTGCGGGCTCAGGCAATCCACTCGCCTCGGCCTCCCAAAGTGCTGGGATTACAGGCTGAGCCATTGAGCCCGGCCACTTATAAGCACTTTGTGGAGAAATATCTTGGGATTATATATCTATATATCTATATATACACAGATGATAGATAGATAGATAGATAGATAGATAGATAGATAGATAGTTGATTACCATTATTTGAAGCAGAAGCAGTTAGGGTTTATAAAGTTACTGTGAACACTGAATCAGTCAATACTGAGCATTGCTCCTAGGGGAGACACAGGGTGGGCTTCCTGTCATAACATAACCATCAACTAGCTATACACAGCCTTGTTTTGAGTGTCTTTCTGTTTAAAGATCCCTTATTTAATATGTATTGTTGATTCATTAGCGTTGAAGTTATGACCAACAGCACTGTAACTAAAGCCTGAATGAAGCTTATCTCACACATGTATTTTCCGGGTAAGGCACATCACAGCCTTCTTGCACTTGGGAACACTAGACAGCACTGCAGCGCTGTGTTTGGGCGATTTTAAACAACAAAAGCACAAAATGTGAAAAACTTGATAATATATTATGAAAGGATACTCGTAGCCGGGTTTGGTGGCTCAGCCTGTAATCCTGCGCCTTTGGGAGGCTGAGGTGAGTGGATTGCCTGAGCCCGCGGGTTCAAGACCCGCCTGGGCAGCGAGACCTCGTCTCTACAATAAATCAAAAAAATCAGCTGGGCGTGGTAGCGCGTGCCTGTAATTCTGGCAACTAGGAAGGCTGAGGCAGAAGGATCACCGGAGCCCAGCAGGTCGAGGCTGCGGTGGCCGGGAGCGGCCACTGCACTCCAGTCTGGGTGACAGAGTGAGACTCCAACTCAAAAAAAAAAAAAAGAAAGGATACTCGTACTGTCTGAGATCTGAAACAGGAAGGCTGAGCATCATCTTGCTCTACCTCAACTGGGAATGTGTGCATCAGACAACTCAAATTTTTGCTGGTCCGAAAGCGTAGTCTTATTTTTTGGGGGTTACAAAAGCGTTTTAGTGAGTAGGCAACTTTGCAAATATGGAATCCAATATTGAGGATTGGCTCTGTCTTATTCCTATTAAACTTTCACTTGCCAGTTTTAGCATCCACTGGACTCAAATTGTCCCAAATTGGCCCCTGGGAATTTTTCAAGCTGTCTTCTGTGTCTTTCTGATATGTTCTCATCATTCTATGAGCACTTCTTTGCTTTTTTGTTCAACAAGGTTTTCCAGGCTTATCTTGTGTTTTTTTGTCCCAGCTCTGTAGTTAGATATTTTTCCAAGGAGCTCTGGTTCCTTTTAGTGGAAGATGGATTTTATTTATTTAACTTAATTAAATTAATTAATTTATTTGAGTAGGAGTCTTGCTGTGTCACTGAGGCTGGAGTGCAGTGGCATGCTCACAGCCACCACAGCCTCCAATTGCTGGGCTCAGGCAAACCTTCTGCCTCAGCCTTCCAAGTAGCTGGAACCACAGGCATGCACCACCATGCCTGACTAATTTTTTTTTTTTGAGTCATTGTAGAAACGAGGTCTTGCCATGTTGCCCAGGCTAGTCTCAAACTGTTGGACTCAGGCAATCCTCTCACCTCTGCTTCCCAAAGTACTGGGATTACAGGTGTGAGCCACCGCGCCTGGCTGAAGATGGATTTTAGAAACCAAGACCTGAGTGCTTGGTGGGCTCCTTACGACCCAGGGTGTCATTACTTGTGAACCCTGTTAGTAGACATAGTTAGGACATAAGTGTATATACACGTGTGTGGGTGTGCACACTCATACACATAATCTGCCACCTGTCTATGTGTATCTGTCTTCATCAAATCTATTTATCTCTCTGTTTACCTATCTAAATCATGAATTCACACCAGTACCTCCAGTTCCAATCTGATATCTGTTGCCCTTTCCATATTTGTAACTTCCTCCTTTGGCAGTTAGAAAATGGATTCCTGTTGTTCTCAATTAATTATTTATTTGCTAAGTCCCCCTTTTATGTTAAAAACCACCTCGCTCCAACAACCAAAGACACAACTCTGGATACTTGCCCAACCCCCCTCTCCTACGGGGCATTTGAGCTGAAACCTCAACCTCAATAAAGGGGAAGGAGAAAGGTGGAAGGAAGAACAAAGTTAACTTAGAGTTTTGAAAGTCTGAACTTTTGCTTAAGTCTTCTTAAATAACAGCAGACTTTTTTTATTAAAAGAGAAAAGTCAAGATAACCATCATACATATGTTTAGTTATCCTTGAAATCACAAGACTATTTTATCATATCAAATGGATATGGAAGAAAAACCAGTTTGGTATAACTAGTTTTTCTTAAAATATTCATGTGATACATGTTATCTTCTTTTATTAAACATTTATTTCATATTTGCTCCAGATGTTTTAGATTCAGCACATTGGCATTTACTATGCTGCTAACTTTAATTTGAATCTTTAAATGTTGGTAGGTAATTTTAGCTTTTTAAATATTATATTTTGGATGTGACATTTTAACTCAGTGTTTGCCAGAGAATATAGGATAATTTTATGAAGTACTTTGATTATACTTTTCTCTGGTGTGTTTATGTTAAAAAGTAAAGCATGCATATTAATTTTCTTTTAAAATGTTAATTTAAGCTTTAAAAATTAAGATATAGAATTTTAAATTTAATTTAAATTTTAAAATGGTCATAGTGAATAGTCTTGACTTTGTAAGCTTTCAATTCTGATGAATAGGAGGCTATGATTTAATAAAAGTTGTTTGTTAATTTTAATGAAATGACTATTATGGTGGCTCATAAGGAGATAACTGTTCTCTGAGATGACTGTATTGTCAAAAATGATGCAGCTTGCCTTTTCTAGGAAGATATGTAAATATTATATAAATGCACATTAATTTACATTATAAACATGCAGAAAACTCAAAAGTTTATACACAAGAATCTAATTTTATTCTTCTTTCCCAATCTTAGTCCCAATCACAGAACATAAACCCTTAATCGTCTGGTGTTTTGTATATATTGAGAAGAATACATTTGAGGTTATAGATACATTATTTTGGTTTGTTTGATTTTTACTTAAATATGATTACACACATGCTTGTTTTATACATTAATAAAAATATTTCTTGGAGTTCTTTTATGGCAGCACATACAGCTCTATTTCATTTTTGTCTGTAGCATAGTATTCCATTATATGGCTGTGCCATAATTTAAACATTTCCCATGTTTCCTTGGGGAAAAAATTTCCCCCTAAATTGGATTCCCCCCCCCCCCCCCCCAGTTTTTGCTATTATAATGTTCCATTGAAAATACTTGCACATTTATCTTGAAGCATATACATGGTAAGTTCTGTGAAATAATTGCCTAGACTCAAGGGTGAGACTTTTCTTTATTTTTGAGGGGCACCTTGGATTTGTTCCCTAATCCAAGTACCTCAGTGTGTCTGATCTGACAGCTTCACCCCTTTTAGCTTTTCTAGCTGAGATTTTTTCCTATATCATAAAGAGGCTGGACAGTCAGATGTCCAACATCATGGAGATACCCACAGCAGAGGAATAGGTACATGAAGGTGATAGTTGGATGGAGTGGAAGTGGTAATTTAGGACTGTGTTGCAGGTGCTTTATGAGGGAGAACCCCCCAAAATTATCTTTCCATGGGTGATCCCCTTGTAGTACAGGCTTACCCCACTAGGCAAGTGTTCTAGGTCCCCATCAGTATCAGTGTACTAGCTAGCATTGTTGTGGGGGGCTGCATTTGACTTTGGTGAAATTTTTTTGGAAGATTCTTTCAATGCATTTGTCCATTTCATGATGGGTGATTTATGAGCACACCTGCCCACACCATGCTGAGTGTTCAGCAGTTTTTAACCAAAAACAGCATGACTCCTGTGGGAGTCACCCTCACTTTTCACCCAATCTCACCCCAAGTGACTTTTTTTGTTTTCCTGGATGAAAAAAAGCCCTCAAAGGGAAATATTTTGCCAATGGAAAATATGGAAGAGGTGAAACAAAAAACAGCAGAAGCACTAAAAGGTATCAAAATGGACAAGTTCAACACTGTTTTGAGCAGTGGAAAAAGCACCTTGATAGGTGTATTGCATCAAACAGAGAGTACTTTGAAGGTGACTAAAGTTTAAACACGTAAGAATAAATATACATTTTTCTTATAAATAAATTCCGGGTTTTTTGGATCCCTCCTTGTGCACATTTTAGGGAACTTTAACATCTTAACAGAGAATAACATTGTTTTAATCAGTGAAGAAATGCAAATAACTTAAACACTTATTGAAATAAGAGACATAGGTTGGGTACTGCTAATAAGGATATTTGTATAGATGTATGTTTCTAGATACTTAATTTTCTTATCCTGGTTGAAATTTAAAAAACCAAACCAAAATCTATTTAATAAAGGGGATGGTTTCTAATCATCATCAGATCTTGCTATTTTTATTCTTTTGTGCAAATATTGCTCACTGCCTATTTCCAGTTCATTTCAAAAACAATTCAGTTTTATTTTGTTTTCCATCCATTGTTTATAACATTCATTTGTCATTTTTGTCATTTTGTAGACCTACCAAGAGCAGCTGTCAGGATCTTAAGCAACATGACATTCCTTTTTGTGAGTTTGTCATACACAGCTGAGAGTGCCATTGTAACTGCTTTCATTACCTTCATTCCCAAGTTCATCGAGTCACAGTTTGGTATCCCAGCTTCCAATGCCAGCATCTACACTGGTAAGGCACTGCCGTTAGGGCTACTTGAAAACATGATCATGTTGACCATGAAGTGGAATGGGTCTAGAGGAAGTTCAGTCTAACATCAGTGTTAAACAAGTTCATTAACTTTCTCCCCCAAGATTTTAGGAGGAGGAAATCCTGAAATGTTTTCTCTTTGATTCAGATTGTTTTACCATGTAACATATTTCCCAACTGTGTTTTAGAATGGGCGAATTTTACATATTTATGTTTTTGTGGTTCTCAGTTTTTAAAAAAATGAAATAGGCAATGACGTTTAAGTTTAAATTTGAATAGATCTTTTGATGGGTTGGTAAGGATCTTAAAGTGTTGAGCTACAATATTGATAATCTAGCTGGGTACAGTGGCTCATGCCTGTAATCCTAGCATTTTGGGAGGGGGAGGCAAGAGATTGCCTGAGTCCAGGGGTTCGAGACCAGCCTGGGCAACTTGGCGAGACCTCCTCTCCACAATAAATAAAAAAGTTAGCCAGGCATGGTGGTGTGCACCTGTAGTTTTAGCTACTTAAAAGGCTGAGGCAGATGGATCGCCTGAACCCAGCTGGTTGAGGCTGCAATGGCCGTGAGTGAGCCACTGTATTCTAGCCTGGGCAACAGAGTGAGACTGTGACCAAAAAAAAAAAAAAAAGATATTTTGAAATATAGATCAGTTTCATGGTATCAGGATTTCCCCTTCATAAATGTGAGCAAATTTTAATTGAATTACTGGATATGTGTGAAGTTGAAAAGGAAATGTATAAATTTTATTTTAGATGTTTTATATCTAGGCAATGACTTTTAGAAGACTTTGGTACACATACCCACAGTACTTAGAACTCAAATCTTTTTCATAGTAACATGGAAACATTAATTCTCAGATATTGGGGGAATTTTCAGTATATATATATGTATGTATATACAGTATATATATATATATCATGTAGTATTTTGGAGATTTTCTTAGTAATATCAAGGATGGCCAAATGACCATCCTTATCACTAAACTATCACTAAACTATAGCTAAGCAGTGTACAAAATCACTAAACTTATCACTAAACTATAGCTAAGCAGTGTACAATTATTATAACTTTTCAGATAATTTAGGCTCCCACTTTCTCCAGTTCCACATTCAAACCCAGTAAACTTGGATTGTCTGAAAACCAACAGGCAAGATTTTATCACTGTAGTAAGAGAAATTGTTTTAAAATATTTGGGTAATTGCTTTGTTCTCTACTTTATCTGCCACATATAAAGACATACAAAATTGGTTGGTGGGTCCCGGATAAAAAGTTTATAAAGAATATATTGTGTGGACCATTGTAATTGTGACCTAAAAATATGTCTTTCTCCTAGTTTCAACAAATATATTTTCTTACATTAAGGTAAAATTTCAAGATTATTTTATGGCTTGGTTGTCAGAAAATCTAAACCTTCCATTTCTAGTTGACCTTTTGTACTAACTCTTTAATGAGCAATGATTCTTGGACAGAGAAACCAAGGGTTGTCTTGTAGCTAGATTCAAAGCCACACAGCTGTTAATGGTAGTCTCAAGCATTTCCCAAACTGAGTTTTAATACTGAAAGGTGTTACTGCAAAGAAGATTCATTGTAAAATAACTTTGAGTCTTGCTGAATTAAACAATGTATTATTATGGGGTTCTTTACTGCAGTACTTTTCATCACCCTTAATATGCCAATATGCGTTATTGAAACTCCCAAAGAACATTCAGATTACAGTCTTTTTCAAATTTACTTAACCATGAAACCTGAATTTTTTTTTTTTAAGAAGCATCTTTCTCATGAACAGTGGTCCTTAGGACACACATAGGGAGGCCATCTTGTGTGCCCCTATTCCAGCCACACTAGGGAGTAGAGCTGTTGAGATCAGCACATTTCCCTCTGGATGTGCCATTCTGACAGTTACTGGCACAGTGGCGCAGTGCTGAGCTGGGTAGAAATTGATGCACCCTGAATGCATATTGACCAAAGTTACCACTTACTGGTAGAAGCAGAGGCTAGCTAGACAACCCTTGGTAGAAAAATGAAATAATGGATTTTTGGACCTGGGGTGTTTGGCTACAGAGTCTCACAGTGGTGTGGCCAAGGCTGCAGTCACCAAATGTGTCCCTCTTGGCCAGGGGAGTACAGGATTGAATAAGGCTGTTTATCCCATGCTCCAACATCAGCATTAGAGAATCAATTTTGTCATCAGTTTTGTCATCAGCAGTTTTCCTTTTTGATCGCTGCAATTGCAACTTATACAGTGTTAGAGATTCTGCTGTGTTCTGATAAAAGGCTTTTTATTCCCAGCTCTCACAAACTTCCCTTTTTCTACAGATAAACAACAAACAATGATTGTCAAGAGATATTCAAATTGGTTAGGAGTAGAGGGTGGTCTGTTATATTACAGAAAACTTAAACGGGGCTGATAATTCTGTTTAAGACTCCTCTTGGTTTTTTGAATTTTTACCAGCTGAATTATTCTGAGCATAGATTTTTATTTTTTAAGGACTTATTTAATTTGAGATCTTTAATTCTCAGAATCCTTTTTTATGTATGTAGAATGATATGGGGATTTCAGACATTAATCCGAAAAAGATGTAAAGATAGTTTTAATTTCTCCTCTGAAAAAGTTTCTGAGTTCAAGTCCTCTTTTCATTTAAAAAAATATTTGCATGGATAGTGTGACCCTCTGTAGCAATTTGCTGGTGGTGGTGGGAGAAGCGCCAGACACACAGCAAAGGATCCTCCTTCCATCACTGGCTCATTCACATCGCGGTTGATACCGGCTGTATGCAAGGTGCTATGCGGTGTGTGTGTGTGTGTGTGTGTGTGTGTGTGTGTGTGTGTGTGTGTGTGTGTGTGTTTGTGTGTGTGTGTGTGTGTGTGTGTGTGTGTGTGTGTGTGTGTGTGTGTGTGAGAGAGCACGCACAACTGGAAAAGTCTAAAGGCTCAGACCAGGCCCCTGAGTTGCTTACAGATCTAAGAGGAGATAGAAAGTTTATGAAAAATCTGTCTAAATAATAGAAGATTTGAATTGCAGTGATTCTTTTGGCTGGTTGGGTCATAGGTTTGGGTTGCACTTATTTGAAGTTTGGAGGAAAGGGGTTGATTCCCTGTGGAGGATTAGCTTGAGCAAAGGAGGATATGGCTTACTCTAGCAGGAAAAAGGTTGGGGGGCGGGGGGGGGAGAGAGAGAGAGAGAGAGAGAGAGAGAGAGAGAGAGAGGAGGGAGAGAGAGAGGAGGGAGGGAGGGAGGAGGGAGGGAGGAGGGAAGGGAGGAGGAAAGAGAGCAGTTTATTCCTTGGTCAGAAGCAGAGAGATCTCTAAAGGCAAGCAGGTGGGGAGTGGGGGCGAGGGAGGAGACCTTTGTGTCCTGGCTGAAGGTGGTGACTCCAGTGTCTTAATGAGGGCAGCATTGGAACCCTGCAGCTGACGCCACTTCACTCCTCCCACATAGTGTGTTTCTACCCAATCGTGGATCTGTTCATAGTGCACTCTCCCTGTGAGTCTTTCTGCTCAGCCACCTGGGGTCACATTCATCTCTTGCACCTTATGAAATACTTTGAATTTTCGGAAGCCTGCAATGGATGGGAAGAGTCTTGAGGGAGGAGTTAGACAGGGCAGGCGCCCTTGAATTCAGCCACTGTCAGGTTGCCGGCTATGTGACTTTGGGCAAGTCTCTTATCTCTAGCTGAAACTGGAGTTTATCTATAAGATGAGAATAATCTCTCCCCTGTCTCTTTAGAGTCGGCATTGTGAGAATCAAACAAAGTAGCGAACAGTGATTTGTTTGGAAGTTTATCTAACTTCAAATAGACATAATATAAATGAAAAAATATAACCTAATCATATAATAAAAAATGAAATTATTATTTATGATGTTGGCACCTGACATGTGAAGTTGTGCAGCTTGAACAGGTCTTAGAATGAAACCTCTGTAGTAATAATAATGATGGTAATAAGACAACTGCTGACATGTATTGGGTGTTTACTAAGTGCAGGACTCTATCTAAGTGTTTTTATATGAATGATATTATTTAATCCATGGATTTAATGCCTAGGCAGTAAGCATTATTAATTATGCCTATTTTCCAGTTGAGGAAACAAAGGCTCAGGGAGGTTTAAGTAACTTGCTTAAAGGCAAGTAGTAAGTGGTAAGCCATGATGTGAGAGTCTTGTGCTCTTTGGAGTATATACATATAGCATGTGATTTTTATTGAAGTATTTAGGAGGCATATGCTATTGTCATCATTTCCATTTGGGTTTTTCACTGTTTCGAGTAGAATGACATTCTGATGGTTTTAAGCTTCTATTTCCACTTACTCTGCCACTGAGGCATGGTCAATAGCATTTTGTTTTCAGAGCACTGTGATCTTTCAGCATCACCTTTGCCTGGGCGCCTGCCCTTGGAGTGCAGAATTATAAAGATTGGAGACATTGGTTTGTCCTTTTTTTTTTTTGAGTTGGAGCTTCACTCTGTCGCCCAGGCTGGAGTGCAGTGGCACATTCACAGCCACCCCAGCGTCGACCTGCTGGCCTCCGGCGATCCTTCCATCTCAGTCTTTCAACTAGCCGGAACTCCAGGCGCATGCTACTATGCCTGGCTAATTTTTTTGATTTATTGTAGAGACGAGGTCTCGCCAAATTTTCCAGGCTGGTCTGAAACCCAACAGGCCCAGGCAATCCACTCGCCTCGGTCTCCCAAAGTGCTGAGATTACAGGCTGAGCCACTGAACCTGGTCTGCTTTGTCTTTACATGAAAAATAGTCTTGGAAAATTCTGTTTTGTTTTTCATTTGTAGAATAATCAAGATAGTCATTTCTGTGGTAAGGGGATTAGGTGTCATTTGTTTTAAAATGTACTGTAATTTGTGTTGTGTAAATAGCCAAATATTTGCCATCTGTCTTCAGCCACTGATTTGGAGTTGAGTTGATGAGATTCAATGCAGTGCCATTGGGAACTGCAGCCCTTGAGAATCTCTCTGTCTTTAGATGTAGA